AAAAAAAAAAAAAAAAAAAGAAAAGAAAAAGAAATATATTGCTAGTGTTACTCTCATGTCCAGATGTTTCTTCCCAGAGAGCTTAGGTTCCTCACCTATCCCTGGGACTCACACAATTACCTACCAACCTGGAGTAAGGGAATTCGATTGAATTAGGATTAATTCTAAACCCAACTCTGAGCATCTAAGAGAGGCAGCCGGCAGCCACACCCACGCTGCAAAGTCCTCTTCCTTACTCCCAAGCCTACTTAAAATTATAACACCACTTCCCCGACTCCCGGCCACAACAGGAATACCAACTGGAAACGCTAAAAATGTTTTCTGCTCAATGATGCGTCTATCCACAAACCTGTAGTAAACAGTAGGGCCAGGTGGTGCGCACCTTTAGTCCCTGACCAAAGAGGTGGGAGGCTCTCTTTGCATTCGAGGCCAACCTTGTCTACGTAGCGAGTTCCAAGTCAGCCAGAGCTACATAGTGAGACTCTGGCTCAAAAATAAACAAGGCCAGTCATGGTGGCTCTCACCTTTAATCCTAGCACTCAGGAGGCAGAATCAGGCAGATCTCTACGAGTTCTTGGCCAGCCTGGTCTACATAGAGTTCTAGGCCAGCCAGGGCTACACAGTGAAACCTTGTCTCAGGAATAAACACTTGATAATAAGTACAACGAAGGTATGAGTACATACGTCAAAAAAAAGTCTAGGTTATATCTCACTTTGCTTGCTTTTCTGAGCAAGCAAACCCTGGACAGACTGCATATTTTTGTATGATCATAATCAGGGTTTGTCGTTAGATCCACTTCCCAGTAAAGACATGGAAGCCCTTGAAGAATAGTTTGTGAAGTCTCCACTAGGGCAAGTCAGAGGTTGGAGGTACTAGAACCACAAACTGTCCCCCACCTCAGGCCTCTGTGGAGGCAGGTACAGCAGAGGCCAAACTCCCTAGCATCTCCTCAGGGTCTTTTCTTTTTGTGGTAGACAGGTGATTAATCTTCACAGGCAAGAGTTACAAGAAGGTTATCTTTTATCTCCAAACCTTGCTGGAGCTGAAGGACTAAAGCTGAATCTACACTGCTGATCAATCATTGATTTTTGTTTTGTTTTGTTAAAGACAAGGTCACACTAAGTAGCTCTGGCTGTCCAGGGACACACTATATAAATCAAGCTAGACTCAGACTCACAAAGATCCACCTGACCCTGCTTCCCAAGTGCTGGGACTAAAGATGTGGCCTCCATGCCTGGCCTTGAGTCATTGTTTTGTAGATCTTGTTTGTAGATTCTGAGCATGCCCTGAGGGAGAAGTCTAAGCAGGAAACAGAGAAAACCCAGGTTTCCGGAACAGGAGAGGTGACTTAGCAGTTAAGAGACTTACTGCTATTGCAGAGGTTCCAGACTCAGTTTCTAGCACATGAACTGCAGCTCACAACAAACAGCCTGTAACTCCAGTTCCTGGAGATACAATGTCCTCTTCTGACTTCTGTGCTCTCTCTCTCTCTCTCTCTCTCTCTCTCTCTCTCTCTCTCTCTCTCTGTCACACACACACACACACCAAATGAAATAAATAAAATACATAAATAAATAAATAAATAAATAAAAAGAAAACCCAGGCTTCATAATTTTGGATCCCAGAGACCGTTTCCTCGGGGCATTTCCAGCCAAGGCTAACCCTGGACCATGTCTTAGGGTGACCCTTCTTCAGAGGACACAGTTCTCAGCAGAACCAGTCTCGTTCCTACCCTAAGCAGGTTTCTCTTCTCTATCCCCTTCTAACACTTATCCCTCCAACATCTCTGATGTAGTCTGAACCCCAGTCTCACAGCCTCACTTTCCAAGCCTCAAGTGTATATGGAGACCAGATGTCTGTCCCAAGTGTGCCCAGACCTCCCCATGGCTAGGGTTCACCCTTTTTGTGATAAAGTCAGGGGCTGCGTGGGGTGTGAACGCTTCAACCAGCTTGTGGTAAGCACAGGTGGAGAAGTCACCTGACCCTCAAAAAATTCTCTACCATTTTTATCTGCCCAGGCAGTTGTACTCTCTTCCTGAGAAGGAAAAAGGGGCCTCTCTCTTCTTATTTCCGCTTCACTGCCTCACAAAAACACTGTAGCATATACCGAGTCACTCTTTATTCAACGTTCTCTCTCTCTCTCTCTCTCTCTCTCTCTCTCTCTCTCTCTCCCCTCCCTCCCTCTCTTCCTTCCTCCCTCTCCCTCTCAGAGGGCCAATACAGGCATGGAGGTCAGTGGTCAGCCTCAAGTGTCACTCCTTAGGTACTCTCTAGCTTTCTATATTATTTTTTTTATTTATATGTCAGTGTGGGCTTTTGTGAATTTATGTGCACCATGTGCATGCAGGAGCCCACGGAGGCCACAAAGGGCACTGGATCCCCTGAAACAAGCAATTGTTAGCCTCCTTGTAGGTGCTGGGAATGACCTCAGGCCTTCGGCCAGAGCAGCGCCCGCACTCTCTACCTCTGAGCCATCTCTCCAGCCCCCAGTTTCATATTTGGAGGCAGTCTTTCCCTGACCTGAGACTGGCCGGTTAGGCTAGACTGGTTGGCCTACGAGCCTCCCCTCCCTCCCCAGAGCACCCCTCTTGACTTCCTAGCACTGGGGTTCCAGCACACCATCACCCTCTGCTTCTCCTTTAGACATGGGTCCTGGGTGTTGAAGTCGGAGCCTCATGCTTGCGCAGAAAACACCTCTCCAACTGAGAACTATTTCTCCAGCTCCGTTATTCAAAATGTTTTCATTTTTAGTTTCTCTTTGCTTCCTCTCTGTGCCTCCAACTCCTGTTGTTTTTTTCTTTCTGTCTTTCCCTGTGTCCAGGATGCTGTCTGTCCATCCTCCTCTGTGGCTCCAGCCCTCACCTTTCTGTATCTCCCACACTCCTTTTCTTAGCTCTCTCTTCTCCTGCCTCTCACTCTATTGCCTGTCTCCTTCCCACTTGAATGTATTCTTTCTCTCTCCCCTCTCTCTGGTCTCATATTTGGATCATGCTTTCCCCAGGAGACCAGGAGAAGACACAGCTGCATGGACACTGCTAGCATGAGCTATGTCTATTCTCTAAACAGTGAGACACCCAGTAGGGGCTTTTGTCAATATCAACATGTCTAAATAAAATGAGCCTGGAGGATGGAAAAGAGAAAAGTTTGTACTAGGAGGTGGAATGATAGGATACATTTTAAATTTTTATTAGTTTCATTACATTTTATTTACTTACATATGTATGTCTGTATACATGCATGCATGTGCACACACACAAACTTGTTACAGAGGTCAACACCCCCAGGAAAAGACCTCCAGATTCAATTAGATGATAATTTAGCCAAATTTATGAAAACTGCCAGCAGGGGTACACAGACTCTAAGCCAGAGAGGGAGTCAGGGAAGGGTTTTTAAAGGCAAAAACCACAAGGAGACCTTGAGTGTCTGCATAAGCGGGTTACAAAAGCCAAAATCAGTAGTTAGTCATATCATAACAAGCAGATGGTCACAGATCTACATTTCTGGGTGGTTGTCAAAGAATCAGAGTTGTAAGGAACTTATCTTTTAGGAATGTGACTCAGAGTTAAACAGCTATTAGGTACCAAGATGGATGACTAACACAAAATGGAGTTTCTTTAGCCATCATGAGCTTATGAAGAGTTCAGAAGATAGCTTGTGGGAATTGGTTCTCTCTTCCACCATGTGGATCCCAGAAACTAAACTCAGATTCTCAGACTTTGCAGCAAAGCACCTTTATCCACTGAGCCATCATGCTGGCCCATTGTACTAATCATTAGGAGCACTATCTCCTAAAAGACAGGTGGGGTTTGAGAATGGAGTTGGGATGACAGCAATTCTGACCACAGGATGTGCCTGAGTCCCTCTTGGAGAAATTGGCAGAGTGAACAGTTGTGCAGCCTAAGGTCATGGCAGGCTCTGGCCGCGGAAGTATACACACCCAGCTTTGTTTCTTCCTCGTTACAATTAGGCAACTCGATTATCCTCTTAATAAAACAAACACTTGATAATCCTTTTATTACTGTTTTTCAGATGCCCCTTCACTTACCACAGCCCACTGAGGTGAACCCACTATGGCCTGAAGACATCTAAGAGTATATTTACAGACCCTAGCCTGCAGAGTACCAGAATGCAAGACTGCAGTCTTGGGCAGTGGGATGCATCTGTGGTTTCCCATGAGGACTCAGTGTTGATAGAGAGCTGTGGCTAGCTGCAAGTCAGAACAGGGGAAAGGACTGTAGATCTCAATTGGAAATGTAGATTTTACTAAACACTTGCTGCTTCTATACTGTTGTCAAGTAAAAGAACCAGCAAGTCTGACCACCTATTTCTATTTAAGAATATAGCTGTTTAGCTTTATTTTAAATATATATATATATATATATATATATATATGGAACTAATTTCCCTCTGAAGAGCAAATCTGATCAAAATAGTTATAGAAAAGGCCATGAAAAACATAAAGTAGAAAAAAAAAAAAGAAAAACATAAAGTGGTTCCATAACACTTTTACTTTTTTTAAGGTCACCAAAACCTTATTTCCTAAAATAACAAAAAGAACACAGAAAGACGACCCAGTGGATAAACGGAGTTGCTGCCAAGACTGACAACCTAAATTCAATCCCCAGGTCCCATACAGTGAGAAGAGCAGACCATGGCACACAGACCCACACTCCCCAACAAATAAAACATAAGAAACAACA